TACGCTGTTTTCGAGGCAATCTCCTTCGATTCCGGTAAAAAGATGCTGAGCTTTCATCCGTCATATGACGAACATCCTCAGAGTAGGTGTCATCATCACAACTCTACACTTTATACTTAATCAAAAAGGCTATATTAGGAATTTGCCGGTGAGTTTTAGTGACTTGTCAGCTTAAATTGTGTTGTGACGATGATACCTTGTTCTGATGATGTTCGTCATATACGACGGACGAAAGCTTAGCAACTTTTTACCGGAATCTAATGAGATTGCCTCGGAAACAGCGTCAGCATGAATGTTCCAGTAAACCCAATCGAAAGCTGGACAAGAGGAATTCGCCGTCGTCTTCTGATGGAACCGACCTCCGAATCTCTTCACCCAACACTTTCACTCGAAATTGAAGTAAGCTCAGCAATTAAAACTGTAGTCAAGAGTGAATGAGTCAGGCTCTCAAAAGAAAAGCGTGAAACCAAATCATCGAATTGCATAAGCATTCAACGATCAGTCCTTATAGCATCTTAAGCAACCTAGGCTGACTAAACTATAAGTTAGGAATTAGTGATTGTCTCTCAAACGATTTGTATTAAAGGTAAGTTTGTTTGATTGCCTGTTTACCTTCCTGAGCTGGTTACTCGGGTGAACGATTATTTTTCGGTTGTGCACCCAACCCAAGACCCGTCTCAAGTAGACATTGCGGGACTCGGACCATTTTCTTTCGTCGCCTGATCGAACTCTCATGTCTTGATGAGGCTCACCAGACAGGGGGTGTACAGGCAAACAGACACGTCGACGCACGAACAGATAAAGATACTGCCAAGTTATGCTCCCCTGCTTAGTAATGAGGAGAAAAATTCATTTGTGATATAAACAAGCCGGCAATATGTAGCTGATTGTCGGGTCATGAGGGCCTAATTGCAAGCAAAAGTCAAGGGTCATCATACAGGCCCGAAACAACTAGATTCGGAGCGTCTATAAATATGCATGACTGCATTTTGGGCCGGAGTGCTGTGGGTGTGATTGGGATGTTGGGGTTGGGGGGGGGTCCTACAGAAGCCGGTCCACACGCGTCGGTGTGCTTCGGCCACTCGATTGGGTCTCAGGCGAACGGAGCAACCAGAAACGCAGACTCGATCCCGTCCCGGATTCGGACACCTCGGCCAGACCGGCTGTTCGAGCTCATGTTACCGACTGAAACTCGCGACTCCAACGAGGGCTGTCTGTCAAACGGGGCTGGTTGCTCTTTTGTTTTACCCATCCGCAGTTGGCCCTACCGACGAGAGTCGACCTGCCACATTCCTACTATGCCCCTCCGACGTTGCCTGCACACATGTTTTACCTGTTGTTTTAGTAACCGAATACGACTAAGACAAGAAAGAAAGGTCGCGTTTTAGGCCAGCGAAATCCATTTTGGGGCATCAAGTATCCATCTGTGTGCTTGTGTGCTTGTGTGTCTATGCATCTATATCTGTCTACCTGTGTGTGTGTATGTGTGTGTGCATGTGCGTGCATCTTTTGTCATGGGCACCTTGGAGCCGACCCGGGCACGCATACACATACAGTGGCACTGTTAAATCAGCAAATCGACAATAAAAGAGTGTCCATGACCCGTTCGCCTGTAGCCTGTATCTGTTTCAGTCAACCCTTTAGGCAATTAAAAGGTAGCTTGCAAACTCGGTTTGGGTCCACAGATGCGGGTCTAAAACACGGACATTATCGGCGAAAGGGCCTTCGTTGTCTGTCGAGTATGAATGGGGTCACTGGGTAACATTCAAGTCTGGTCGTCGAGGTGTGTTAAGCGAATATTCTCGCCCAAACCTATACACCTCTGATGCAATTTATTTGGTTGCCTAATTTGAGTTGTCAGAAAACGTGTTTCGCCTCCAACCGCGAAATGAATGAGTCTAAAGTTGTCTTCAACTTTTGGAAAGCAAGCTTATTAGAAATTCATTTGAAGTGTAAGGTCTACTCATATCGTTATGGGAAAATTCAACTACCAGTCCTTGATCATCTTAAACAAAATATGGAAAATACATCTGATACATAAGTATTGTAAACGAGTGTCATAGCAAAGACAGCTTTGCTTCATTGAAAATCACATCACACTGCGAAAATGTCTGGCATTCCATGAAATTCCCTTCTGTCCTGTGCCCCCGAGGCACTCGTGACATTCTGGTGTAGTCATTAATTTATCGATAATGTACATTGCAATTTCATGGTTCGAGTCCCGTCGGGGGCGCTGATGATACCGGGGCGAGGTCAAAAGTGTAGTCTACTTCATCCTTGATGATAATGCCTTTTGGAAAGTAAGGCTATGTAAAATAGAATGGAAACGTAAGTAACATTTATGAAATTGTGGGAAACTTCAACTACCAGAAAGCGTATCACCTCATATAACAATCCGTTAAACTTTGTAAACTCACAAGTCTTTAATAGGTCATGCTTTTCACTCGAGCATCACTCGCCCTATTCTACACATGAGGCTCTAGCTTCAAGATTCACATGCCTTCATTTTGGCCCTCCAGAGCGCAAGAAAAAAGCAGTTTTGACCTCATTCGTACACATAAAATGGATGCAAATGAAATATAAGATACATTATTATATATTATACTATTATACATTTAATAATAGTATATATTCCCTATAAAGGGGGAATATAAGTTATGTCTGAAGGTATAGCAAATATGTCTTCTCGAGCGGCTCAATCTCCGAGGCTTCGTGATTAAATTAAGGTAGGATGGACACATGCCTAGACCGAAAGGAGTCAATTAGAGAGGGTAGAAGCCTCATGCCGGATATGGCCTTGGTAGAACTTCATGTGTTTGATCGAGATCCACTACAATATTCCGCATTCCCAATATCCAGACCAGGCGGTTATTTTAAAGTAGAAAGTATAGCTCTGCAAATCTCAGTCGTTATGGGCAATCTTGTCCCGTAACTATCATGAGGCGGATTGTTATAAAGTGTGTGGCTGTTTCGACTTTTTCTTTTGTTCTATATCGATAATATCAAATTGAGACTTAATGTAAACGTCATTCATTTTCCAATTTGTGTTCGTATCAGTACGCAACTGAGTAATGGGAAAAGACTTTTGATGGGATTTATACGTTTGGCAAGAATTGCTTGTTGACTGTATCAATGTTTCGAACTATTCCGTAGTTCGCTCTCACCAGATTAGTATTTTATGGTAATTTTAAAGTTTCTCTTCACTTTCAGAAGGACAAAATCCTCTATATTTTTCGTATATAAGTAGAGTAGAATGCATCTTATACATCTCATATAAAATCCTATATACCCCTTCTTTCGGTCCCAATAAAAGTGGTCGAACTCTCATCAATCTAGCTAGAATGCATACTTGCAACGGATGCATTCCTACGGGCAAAATGTATCCACAAAAATGAATTTATCGAGGTATATAACGATTTGTTTGTTGATTTTAACATCTGCCTATGTGTAAGTTTACTTGTGTATGCTAATGTTTGTATGTATATCGGAAGATGAGTGTGTGTACGAGAAAAAATCACCCGTGACCTTTTGGCAAAATCAGAAGGAAGGTTAAACTTTGCTCAGGTCATCAAGAGTTAATGAACTTTTGATACAGCGAATGTAAAACTTCGATTGCGTTAAAGGGAGCGCACGTCTGGTTTTGTTGATGAGTTTTTTTGGGCTAAAATAAGCTATTCAGACATTTGTGTCCTTAATTAGAACCAGAAGTGAATAGAATGGGCTAATCACCTTGAGGTATCCTTCTTCGGCTGGGATGAAAACAAATTTTCTCGATTCCTAGGTTAGATGCGGCATGATGGACGAGAGCTTAACACCATTTAACCGAAAATGAAGTAGGGCTTCTCGAGTACTAACTAGACGCAATCTACAAGAGAACAGGGGGAAGCTGATGAGTATTGTGATGGGGACGACAAATGAAGTGGGCAAAATAAGACAAATCTGGGCTTTGAATAATCATTTGACTTTTAAATTGTATTGAATGGCTGATTTCTGAGGGAAAACCGGTTGTAAGCGATTGGTGAATTGGCCACTCCAGAAACCGATGGAAGTTGTTGTTATGCGCAGAAGTATGATTTCGTTTTCTGTCAACATCTTTGATCGGTTGACCCAACTTAGGAATTCTCTTTACACATCTACTAGAATTACCAAAACCTGAAATTATCATTATTATTTCTTATTATAAGAAATCGTTCTTTTTTTTGAAAACAAATGAATACCAAGAATAACTAGGATCTGAATAATCTCCTGACATAACATTGTTGTGGAGAATTAAAATTTCCTATGAAAATGGATGATTTGCATTGCACTATAGCCATTTGGCTTTAATTTGACGTTCAGTCAGACGCATTCCATTTCAGACGTGCTTAGCTTCCGTCTTTCTTATATCAGACACCATCAGAGCTGGGTATTATGTTTACAACGATGTTCAAGCTAAGGAATCAAGAATGATACCTCGTCTCTTTACTTAAGCCCGAGGCGGAATTGTGCATTCTTTAATTTTTTTAGTTAAAATGACTACTTAATCTTTCGAAAATTTGGCCCCGACAGACAGACTTCCGTCTACTTTTGGTTAAGCCAACACACGACTACTTTCTTCGAAATCGACTTTCGATAGGAAATCAACTTTGCAATGACATGAAACCTTTATGTAATTGTCTTTTACCGCAATGCTCATTTTGGTTTCGTGTGAATGTGTGGGATAGAGTGATGTGTATTTTGACCTCGTATTAAAACTGTATCAGAATACTTCTTGTCCAACGTTTTATAGTTGGCAGTGGCCATTAGACTGGCGCAGCTTTTAAAATATCCTCAATTCATGTATTCGAAGTAAGTTTAGATGATGTTATACTTAGTTGTAGGCTGTTTTGTCAATTACGAAGCATTCCGATAACGACATCAAATCTACAGTGAATGGAGAAAACTGGTGTCCTCACCCGAGCCGTAGGAGAGCGCCTCAGGTCCGTTCAATCGTTTTTCCTCTGTTCTGGTCCTAATAAGAGTAAAACTTTCTAAACAAATGATTTGGCAAAAAACTCATTAACCAATCCAGACATGAATTCGGCTTTACGCAATCGCAGGGATACATTTCGTTGAGTCGCAAAGGTCATTAAACCCTGATGACCTGCGACAAATGTTATAATTACTCTGAGATTGGGCTTCTATGCATGTGCACAGATAAACATTCGCACAGACGGGCACACACCAACATATGCTTAAACAAGAAAATTAACAAATCACATCAGCATTTAGCTGCCGTAATGCATTTTCTTGAGCGTATTTAGCCATCTGGTGGATTAGCTAATGACACGATATGCACTGATTGTTTCGGTAAACCCAAATGACGATATACCAAGAAGAACCCATCAAGTGGTCGCAAAGTTTTAGATTCTTGTCTACAATTGTACCAGTTAAGAGATGGCTCGGAATTTCGGAATTTCGGAATTTTACGTAGCCATGCGCTCCACTAAACGACCAGTAGCGTCCGGAACACTTCGACAAAACACTCAAGCTCCTTACAGCTGCGGAACGGCTTATTGGACTCTGTAGGCCAGTTTAAGATGGCGCTGTCATCACGATAGCGGGATAGATTCCAATCAGCCTCAAACGAGACCACCAACGGCCGTATCAACCAGACCGAAGAAAACAGATTTTCGGCCAGGCACATGACGCTTACACTCTCTTAAGTGGGCTCGTTCATCACAATGTTGTACGAATTGGTGTCGAAGCTATTGTCTGATTGAAATTTTCCTATGTTCATGACACGAGGACACTTAGTCTGCAGAATGACTATGACAACCCATTATTCTCATAGACGAAATCCGCCCATCTGATAGCATTAGCGGCCTAAGCCAGGTCTGGCTATGCTAAGCAGGCACCAAAGCTCACAGTTGCCCCAGGCCAGTTGTGATAAGTCGGCCTAGCGCACACTAAAAGAGCGATTCTCTGCATTCTGCCATACACTCAAGGGCCCCAACAAAGGCCGAGTTACCAAATCAGGCCAGCTCTGATACAGACGCCGTATTTGCATGTGAAGCCCCAGGTTAGACTGTGTGCGTGTGTGTATGCATGTAAGTTTGATGATGTATTTGTGTGCCTTGTGTGTATGAATGTAGGTCTGAATGTGAATTGGTATCCTTGCGGTTGTATGTGTTTGCGTGTGGGCGGTGTATACTGTATGTGTATGTGTGTACGACCTATCTACGAACAGTGAATGGAACCGTCAGAGGCTGGGGACTGAGCCACTGCCGGACCTGGCATCATACAATCCTAGAAGATTGTACGCCAACTCCACCAATCCGGAACAACAAATAGTTCTCTCTCTGGGTGGGTCAGAGGACAATTGGCCAGGCGTAGCGGAGCTTGAAGAGTGTGTCAGTGATGCGGACGCGAGTAGAGCTGGAATACTGACATGAGTTGGTTGCCATGTCCTCGTACAAAGCGACGAGATAAACGAATATAACATCTCTTCTCCAGTTGCCAGGCCGACTTGATGTAAATTGTAGCTACATGTGTTTCTACAACTGCATGGATGTGGCGCATTAGTTTCATGTCTATGTCTGTCCGTGTGTGCAAACAGTCGAAGGGTATCGCCTAAGATGGACACGTTTTCACCGATAGAGCCCATCGTAGAAAGGGTCAGATTGCGATTTTCAACACGCTTTAGGATACCTCCTGTTCGTCCGGATATACTCGAAGCTACGCCCTTGCTAGGCAACCGAGTGGTAGAAGAAAATGCGTAGCTGGCATGTAACGGATTCCACCGAACACCCGGAAGCGGCCCCGTTTTAAAGGAGATCGTCTCGTGGCCCCCGGGGCATAGGACTTCCGCTATGATTTGGTAACGAGGTGGTCGTTGCTTCGCCGGAATTGAGGATACTCATTCGGTCTGCCGATTCTCCTAACAACTGCCTCCAAAATAAAAGCAAACTAACCTGACACTCAGGTCAGATCTGGTCTCGTAAACACTGAAAGTTTGGTTAAAGCCAGTTCAAGTTGAGAACTGGCAACATCCTGTCAATGCTCCGCTAGAAGTCGTTAAGCGGCAATCAACGGGTTACACTTCCCGATCTTAAGTAATCGCATCGGCAATTGCTGATCGAGTCTGTTTAGAATACAGAAGTATACAAAATAAATTAATAGACTCAACTATCCGAATTCAAGAATGTCGGAAATGTGAATTTTAAGATAGGCTAGGCATCTCAAAAATCACATGTATTCTGAGTATGCCATTATGCTTCGAATCACATGTAGTATTGCAAGTTTTACAAGTAGTATCACAAGTAGTAGTACTGATTAAACCGAAGGTGATACTGGGTTTACAAACATACTCACATAGGAAATATAAAACTATTATTTAATCTCGACGCAGGAATTGTGCAGTAACCCGCAGTTACCGATAGATATTGCCTCAAATCACAAGTTCGTGTACGGCCAAGATAGCCAACTTCATAAAGAGGACCTGCCACGGACAATTAAATACTTTAACCTTCAAGACACACTTAATGGCTGGCTCTACAATTGGATCGCAACATTGAACAATTAAACTCGTATAAATGTTGACATGAATTGCGACTGTAATGCCAAGCCATGGAAAGGTAAGCCTTATAGTTCTACATCAGCGATTCTGTCATTTATAATCATGGGCCCACTTAGTCACCAATTCGCTCTTTTTATCAATGTCCTTTTTACCTTGTTGATAAAAACCTCCCAATTAATGCTGATAACTTCAGCCATCTCAGGAGATGTTCTCCATTGGGAGATTTGTGCGGTAAGGCGTCCAAGGGCAGGTTGAAGGGGCAAGGTTCGTCCCAATCAAAGGCCCGGAAGACAGACTAATTGATGCAATTACCGCTCAAATTCGTAGTCTAGTGCTTCCTGGAAATGCAATTTCCTACCTTCGTTTTATCCACAAAGTAGAGGAATTAGCAACTTGACAAGATAGTTAGTTGGTTATTATTATTATTAGTAGTAGTAGTATTAAAAGTAGTATCGGATTAGTTAGCACTAGTTGTGGGAATTATAGTGAAAAATGATAGTAGCAGTAGCATTAGTGGGATAAACTTGCAATTGGCAGCAATACACGAGATAAATGAGTGAATTTGGCCTTAGTCTGTCTAGAGTGGCAATTCACTGAGATTATGAAAATCAAGTAAAATCTTTCTTTCATAATGAGAAGATGGTATCTCGACCGAGTTTGATGTTCGCTGAGCTAGGAAGCCTGTCGGCATCACTGCGAACACACCAAGCCGAGGTGAATTCAGTCTGTCTCACGCATCGCAGGATCGCTTACGCTCTATTACTCACAGGCCCGACTCTGTTCAAGCAGACCAGGGTCTGGTTTGTCTCACTTTGTCTGCTACATTCGAGACCCTCCTCAATACGGAATACCACACGTCTGGTCTCCCCTCATCGTCATCACACTCGACTATGACGCGCCCATCCCCTTTACTCATCACTTGTACGGCTGCGTGGACCGAAACATGTCGTCCGCTGGGGGCCAAGACTGGGCCTCATTAACACGCGACACAATCGTCTGCCATGAATGCCTGTTGAATGGGGGACATCTTCCCTCTTACACTCACCACATCACATGGCCCTTCAAGAGGCCATTGCTTGCCTCCACTTCTCCACTCCACACCCACACACCCACACATACACACACGCATACATGCGAACGAATAAACTCCAAAACATTGACATTTCTGCACTCGACCATGCGTCGAGTTCATGTCGTGTAAAAGACGATCACATTCGCAAATGAGGCTGACGCAAATGGATGAGGCTGAAATGAGGCAAACAAGCATCAAGTGGCCAAAAGGTGTTAAGTCATCTTTTTTAAAGATTCACCCCTCGCAAAACACGCGTGCTTCCCACCCATTGACTTCAACTTTGGACCGGCGAGTGAGAGGTGAATGGACATTAATTTCCCAAATAATTACGAGTGTTTACACCTCACTTGTCCGGCCTGGGTAAGTCTGATTATATCATCGCAAAAACAGCCGTCCTCAATTTCTCCCTGCCGCAATCCCATTAAAACGGAGCTACAAATGCTCCCACTTCGTACGGCCAGACACGGCTGAAACATGCAAAAAGGTGAAACAAACATGCATTTCGGCCGAATTGCTTGCCCAGTCCAGGTTCAATGGGATAATCTCGACCTGCTAGGCCCGCAGTCTGAGCACAGCTTGAGGGTGTGTCCGTAGTCTTGAGGGCTGAAGAGACGTGTCGATCGAGATTGTGCGAACAAGGCTTGTTCCAGTTTCTGAGAGGCAGTGCTCACGGCTCGGCAGACCCGTACCCCTCGGACCGATGTGTGTGTGTGTGTGTGTTCTATGTTCACCGGGTCTTTAATCCGGCCTGAAAAAGCCACAGCATGAAACGGGTCATGACAGGTCTTTCACACCTTCCAACTCGCCGCCGCCCCCTGGCCTGACGGCCTCCTACCAAACATCATTTGGTCCGAACTCTCTGGACACACGATTCCGTCTGAGCCGGTGAGAGCATGGCCAGTTGGAAAAACAAAATGAGGATTAGCGAAAATGCTGGTGCCGACTGGGTAACGGAGGCAGACAAATTTGATAATTATTTATGAAATAAATCTCCGGACAACCCTGGCTAGATGGGCCTCAAATATGGCAACAAAGAGGACAAGGCGAGAATGCTGCTTATGAAATGTGATGGATGATGGTGGACCATTTGCGTGGCTGACTTCATCTGTAATTATCGAGGCGAAAAAATAAGACCTCACCAGTCAAACATCGCAGGCTTTTTCAGGTTTGCTCAAGCCGTAGGCACCGATCATAGTTGGGTGTGCTTTGGTTATTGCAGATCGGCTTTGATGAACATTTTCTCAAAGGAGACATTAAAGAAGACCGACCGACAGAAGGTATAGAAGAAAGAGATGATGAAAAAATGAGCATACTTCGCTGATCAACACATCCCCCAAATTCATACACAGGCGGTCAACTTTCCAGCATCGGTTGAGCAAACAACCACTGCTTGAGTTGTGATAGACAAATTTTAGACTTGGACCTCATTTGTCTTAACATTCTTCTAAACCGGACTCAATTAATCTTCTGGTTCAGTGAGACCGACGTTTCACACCTATCGGCCAGTTCCAGTCGGCCCACTCGCATACACACCTCGTCTCCTTTGTAGAAGTTGAGGATTAGTAGACTGCAAGGTGTCTCACTGTATTCCTATACGCATGTGTGTGAGTGTGTTCGTGCATGTGTTGCAAGTGTGTGTTTTTGGACCTGTGAAATTGCCTCTTGATGTATGAGTGTGTATGTGTGCCGGCGTTTGTGCCCACGTCTGCATTCATATGAAGTGAAATAAGGTGACCGAGGACTAGGGACAATAAGGAGGCAACAGTGCGTGTCTGAAATGAATTAATTCTTAGCAAGGATTGCCTAAAATCAACATGCTTAGTTGCCTTTAGTGGTTCATTCACATCATCCATCATCGCTTCGTTCTCCCCACAAAACCGCATCCTTGCAAGATTCGGTGTCAACTTCACGATTTTCAACAGCTTTCAATCCTTTTACAAAATGTTTTCATTTCATTTCGGCTTCTTCAACTCAGTCTACTGCGAATAAATTAGCCCCCATTCACGACGTCACATGCACTAAAATGTTGTTATAAGCAAACTTCGCAAAGCACAGAACTAGGGTCACTTCAGAGGTTAAGAAGGTCCATGTCTAATTTGATCAGGCTGCGTATGTTGGTCACCAACAAATGGCCAGTCGTGGCTGGAATGCTTGAGTCAGGCTTCAGAGCATTTTTCAGGATTTCCGCCTCCAGCGGTACCGGCACGAAGGAGCATGACGCACTCATTTTTCCTATCCAACTTGCGGGGATACGACCTTTCTAAAAGGCAATATACAATACTTAACTAGGCCTCAGGATACGGGACTTATGGGCAAAATATAATTGCATCGCGAGCCCAGGGGCTACATGATCCGGTGCCCGGGCTGGTCGTCCAACCCAGAGGCAGCTTCCGCATTAGATATGCGGTCATTTCCGGAGCCTGAATAAGCAGGCCAAGCCATGCCGGGCAGGGATGGACAGATGCGACAGGAAGTCGGATGAGAGGACCAAGGAGTGCAAAAAATTTCACCAGCCCACCCGTCCCATACACTCCTCCGAATTGACACGGCCGGACTGAAAGAACGGACTTACTGCAAATCCTAATTAGGCCGACTGGCAGCTGTAATCTGGCCGGCAGGACAATTCGTTGAGTCCATTATGGTTGAGTTTTTACCCGAAATTTGACATATATGCTTGTGTGTGTGTGTGTATGTGTGTAATAAAGAGAGAGAGAGTGGATGTGCACATGAAATGGAGAGCAATCATAAGTGCTTTCCGGTAGGAGAGCTCCCCTTTGGCGTAACTTACACAATCGAAAGAAAGTAGGGTTTCGAGACTACACGAAATAGGGTGAATACATCTCATTACACAATCGAGTTGTGGTGGAATTGATGCAGCTCAACCGGTACCGAGAATTTCGACAATCATCACCCCGGACATAAAAATTGTGAATTCACAGGTCATTCGAGAGTTTCACCGATATATATATATATTTTTTAAAGTGTTTAGTGAGGAAACAAGAAGGTCCATCCCACTAGAAGATTGCGGCGGATACCTCTTGACCATGGACATCATCAGAGCAGGCTATCATCACTACAAACATATTCAAGCTAGAGTAAAAAAAACTCACTGGCTCAACCATAAATGATAAATATATATATCATATAGCTAAGCTCTTTGACGATTGTATAAAGTGAATTAATTAGTTCAAGTCATTTATGTCGGTGTGAACCAGGATACAGCGAAGTCAATGCCTTTTATCTTCGATGTAAGTATGTTTCGAAACTATCAGTAATTCTTGAACAATAACCTAGTAGCCCAATGATACGCTGCACTACTCACGTTCGCATCCCCTTAAGAGTACTGATGAGACCAAGGTGAAGTCCTTTGGGAAGCAAGGCTATGTGAATTTCAATAGAAACGTCAGTTCAATTAGTATCCTTGTGGAAAAATTGACAAACACTGCTTCATCACTTTATGCAACCTAGGATGAGTACAACCCTTAATTAAGATTTAATGGTAATTTACAAACCTAATTGATATGAATAAGCCATTTACAATAATGAAAATCAAATCCCCCCTGTTATAATTCTGAATCAAGATTTACCGTATTTCCTCATGTATAGCACCCGCTTTGTATAAGCCACCCCCCAATTTTTTGACTGTGAAGTTTTGAAAAAATATTTTATTAGTGAAACAAGT